TGAACCGCATTGGTGGCTCACAGTCATCCCCTGACTAATACACCTGCCTCTCTCTGCCCTTCTCTCGGGTCCAACCAAAGCAGACTCCTAGAGAAAACTCCTGGAGCAGAAATTCCTGTTGCTTGTCTCCTCTCTTTGGAAATTCAGGCAGAGCACTCATTTAATTTTCAGGTCATATTTAGACTATCTCTAATCGTCACCACAGCCTTTTTAACTCAGCGGCCCCTTTTCTTTCCTTATTTTTTATTTATCTTGCTTAAGAATCATGGATTAAATATGGTACTCCTGAATTCATCCTGTTCATATCCCTAAACTCATTTCATTCTTCTGCATGATATGACAAAACCGTCTCCTGACTGGTAATGCCCGAGTTGTACATCATCAGCGAATGTTATTGGTGCATGCCTACTTTTTGTGCTCAAGTCACACAATAATAACAGTATGAAAACCAACGCTGCCCAGTGTCAGCTCCCTATACACAGCATCCATTTGTTCTAAGCCCCTGCATCTCGTAATGATAATGTTAAGTAGTTTTCTGAAGGACTTCCAGGTACACGTGATCTATTGCTTTTTTCTTCTTAAGGAAATCATTCATTTTGCTACATAAAGATATCTAGCATAATCTGCCTTTATTTAAAAACAAGTTGACAGTTATCTCATTTTCTATTTATCTGCAGGTCTTTCAGGAGTTTCTCATTCAAAATATACCCATAAAGCTCTAAATAGAGCTAGGATTAAATCAGCAAGCCTGCATTTGCTTAGTTAATTATTTTTCTTTTAATTACTGGTATTATATTGCTGCTCTCCAGTCATGCAGTACTTCTCCTGACTCTACAGTTTTATTTAAAATCTTTCCTACCAAGCCTACAATATCACATGCCAGTTCTTTCTTAGTTCTGTGACAGAAATGATCCTGTTCTTACTGTCTTGAGACCCTTGATCTGCCTGAATCTTGCTTCTGTCACATCTCCAGAATCACATATATCATATAATATCTCCAGTCAGACTAATCCTCCTGTTTTTGACTCTACATTTAACCTCCTCTTTCTCACTGAAAACTAAGGCAAGGTATATATTTATACTTGGGCCACACCTAGATTATTATCTAGCACATCCTTTCTTCACGGAGGCTCTACTTTTTCCATCATGATATAAATTATATATAGTCCTGTAAATACATCATACATAATATATCCTACTATATACTACCATATAGTATATTGTGTTCATTATATAGCATATATATTATTATATATAATAATATATGCAATATATATATTATACTATTATAACTATATATAATATAGTTATAGGGATGAAAAAACATGGCTAGTTTCCTACTTTTACATCTTTCCTGAAGTTGGAAAAAATTATTCTGAATACATGATCAGTAGAAAGTTACATTATAACTATTGCACTTGATTTGCCTACCCAAGTGGTGAGTTTTCTGTGACAGTCACTCCTATGAAACTTGCAGGATGGGCATGTGATTTTGCAAGGAAACTTTAATATTTAAATGCAACACCAAGCTCAGAAAGGCTTTTCCATGCCTTTACTCACTCAGATGGCAGGATCCACAGATGGGGGATCAGTTAACAGTGATATGAAATTGAGAATAGCTCTGTTAACCTTTACTATGTGCCATATGCCTTGAAGTCAATAGAGTTATTTCAGTTTTACACCACCATACACTGCAGTAAGAGTCTCGCATCATTTTTCTCACTCATAGCTGGTGATAACTGTATTTTTAAAAATTCATATCTTCATCTTATTCATGGAGGAAATATCTTAAGGTGCCATTTAGTTTTGACATCCATGCTAATGTTCTTAGACTCAGGCCTGGCTTTGTGCCATATGCTCATAGTGCTTGGCCCTCTATTGAATTCCACCTACTTTTTTATTCAGAAATGCCTTTTCTTGTCTCTCAAGAGAGATCACTATGCATAGTTCAAGATCTTTAACCACTTTTAGTGGAGAAAAGTGAACAGGAGGACAAAATCCTTTTCTTTGTGGCCACACTATGGAACCAGGTTGTTTACAGATCTACGAAGAGGGGCAGTCCTGGAGCCAGGGATGCTTCACTGGCCACGTCTGTGCTGCAGTCAGAGGTGTGACAGCTACTGCTCTCCTGGAGCTCAGCAGCTGGGAACTCAGTTTGGGCTGCAAAGCTCATCTCTGACATGCCATCAGAAACTGGGCAGTAAATGAGCTCAGTACTGCTAGTGGTACCTAAGCTAGGCAGGCATGCTTAGGTGTAAGGCAAATAACGGGATTACCAAGTACCCTAGGCAAGACAGAAGAAAATGCATCCAATTCCTCTCTCTTTAAAGAACATTCACAACCATGCTAATGCTTAATGCTACATTTTACTACATTCATATAAACATCAAAACATTGTTAAATTGCAACAAAATGGAATTCTACTTACAAAAACTTTTACTGTGGAAAAATCAATCTTGTCAGTTCCTTCCCTTTTGAATTTGCACAATATGGTGCTGCGGTCAGGTTTTTCGGTAATATTTTGGACACTGAACCATATCTTTTTGGTTTGTGCACCACTCATGTAAGAGAGATAGACCTCTACCTCGGTTTTGGAAATATTCAAGTTGTCATTTTCTTTCTAGAGGAAAAAATTTGAAGTTAGAAAACAGTCACTCAGTATGGTAACATGTAAAATGATCCCTAGTAACTATTTTAAATAAGGAAGTATATTTTTTTATACTTACATACATTTTATACTTACATATATTTTTAATTCAAGATCAGGATCCAGTTCAGTGTGCAGCTGGTAGTTAATGAACACTGGGTCAGGGTGGTAGTGTAACTTGACACACGGTATAAAGGTAGTTTCTACTTTTAACATCATATCAACAACTTTTCCCTCTTTTGCATGGCTCAGACTTGGCGTTAAGTAATTATATTCAGATTCATTTCCAGGAAACCTAGAGACCTTAAAAAGCAATAGCAAAGCTGTAACCTTCATTAAGTACTCAACAGTAGGTACAATTATAAACAGAGGCACTCAAAATCTTTTTATAGTCTTCCTGACTTCACACAGATATCTGTTAAACCACCTCTCTGGGATCAGGGCTCCACGCAGAGTACCTGGAAAGTTTCTGTTAAGCTTGTGTCTGCCTTTAAGCATAGTTATCACGCTCTCTGCGAGCTGCTTTAAGGCTGATTGAACGTTGCTAAGGCAGATATTTCCTGCCGTGAGAGGAGAGCACAATGAATAACCCTCGTGAGCGGAGAGCACAATGAATAATGCTCGGAGGCTCTCCTTTGTTCCCCGAAATGCAGGTCATGTGAGATGAGCAGGATGAGCTCCCCAACACCCCCGGCACAGGCTGTCCCCACTCCAGCTCCTGTTAGAGGGAGTGTGTTACAGTTGCCCCACGGTGACTCCCCGGGGCAGTGCTGCTGTTGTCCGGACTCCGTGCTACAAGCCCAGGAGGCAACGGGCTGCCCACCCGCTCTCAGCCTCACAGAAAGGGTTTAGTCCCAGCATCAAAGCCCGACCTTTTTGAGGCACTGGCAGTATTTGGGCTCTCAGCACAAAATAAGAGAGAAGTACAGCGACATGGGGAGAACTGGCACGCTGAGATCATATGTGCTCAACAGTAGGGAAAACACCTCCTCAGGGCACCACCCTCTCCTCCAGTGGACACACATCTGGAGGGGGGACTCAGAGAGGACAGCTTAGGAAAGAAGTCCCCAGAGCACCAAAAAAAGACACAGGGCATCATGCAGAAGAGCAGCTTATGTTTATCCATGATTCTGTACCACTGAGTGTATGGGCAACTGCAATCCTACAAAGAAGTGGCCATATTTATTTCAGTAGGAAGACTGATGTTAAGCACGTGTGCAAGTGTTTGAAAAATACTAAGATCTTCCTGAAACCTTGGGAACAAAAACTGTTCCCTTAAGACATCTGTATTTGTTATTGTGAAGGAGATTATGACTTACGGTGAGGTTTGGTCTCTGGTCATCTGAAATAATCACACTGTCCACCACATTAAAATTTCTACCAGATGTGGTTATTCTGCGACCACCACTATTAAACAAAAACAAAAAATCAAATAAAAGAGGTTAACATCACGCCTTTTCTAGCAGATAAATCCTACATTAAGGTTTTAGTCACAAATAGACTAATCACATACATTTTGTTTTGGTAGCAGCCAATAAAATAAAGTCAAACTTCAGGACAAGATAATTTGCATGCTGGCCTCTCCCATTGTACAAAGCTATTCTGAAGGTACTTGAGCTATACATCGTACTTCCATTCGTTCTTCCTAATGTCATGCTAAATCTTGTTTGCTAACACAAAATCAAATGATCTGATAGCATGCACGTGCTATACTCCTTTTCAGGGACTCTCCAACCTTTTTTATATTCAGCCAGCCTAAGAACTAGACTGTGAGTTAATATTCTAAAGAATGTCACGGTATTTCATTGTCTCAGAGCAGCTCTGGGTGTGCTCAGTTCTTGTTTTCTTCTGGACACACTGATGGTGCCAGACGCCTCACAGGGAACATCTCTGGCAGAATTCAGACCATCTGTCTCAGAACACACAATGGTGCTCGTGTCTGAGGGCTCTGGCTCACACTCTCTAGTAAACATACTTGGAATGGTTTAAGGTATTATTAATTTCCAGCTGCCTGCACTACCCCTCACCTAGAGGTGAGGGAATGTGTCCTAGCTGCTCAGCTGCTGCAGCTGCCAGTCCAACGTATTATCACGAATTGACACTTGCCAGTGCTTTAAGCCAAGATATCAGATTGAGAACTTGAAAGTGGGTAAAAATCCCTTCTGCTGCTCTGCTGTGCAGGCAGAGGGACAGGTGGAAAGCTGTGGCCGAGAATATCTTAAACCACTCTATAAGTTTCACCACAACTCTTCTGCCAGAGTCATAAGTCTCCTGTAGAACATAGCAGAAGTCTGAATATGGCTCTTTTGGTTTTATGGAACCAGGTCCTAAAACAAGTCTGTGCATATCGTTGTAGTGATGATTATTTTCATTTTATTTTCAATTTGCTGACCCTTCATAGTGTGTAGGAGGTAAACGATATATTTACAGTTATCCAAAATAAACGACGGAAGAAATAATCAGAGTTTAAATTGATGTGTGCTACCCAGATTTCGGATTTAATACCAAAAGACTATTTTTTACTTCTACTAAGGAGACCTCCTTCAGGGAAAGAAAAGGAATTTGAACAGAAATACTAAATTCCTCTTGTAGCTATCGTGACCTTCTCTGTATATTACATGCTAAGCCAGTTCACTGGGGTAAATTCATCCTCCACAACAGGTTACTGCAAGTTCAAACTATGGTCTATTATCTCAGGCTCTCTACAGCGCAGATGAGCACAGTAGCCTGTCCAGAATTAGTGCAGTCACCCAAGTTTATGTCAGCTGCAGTCTGATCAAGAAAGCAGAGTCACATGAGCTCAGTGGAACTACATTTCACTAAATACAAAGAAGTGTAGGAAGACAAGTTTTACCTGATCCAGGAGGTATTTGGTGTGATTCCAAAACATGATGGCAGTGAAACATAATGCAGCGTCACTGGTGGTGAACATTTTCTCCCATCAGCCTGTATGCATATGCTTTTGGCCTCTTTGCGTGTTGGTGGGAGAGCAAATGTCATTTGTGTATCATTTAGTACGTTTCTGACTTGAATGCTGAAAGAGGAAGAAAGCAGTCACAGACGCTGAATCACAAATGCCTCTCATTTGGTGTTACTACATGAAGCCTATAACCTAAAGCAAAGGACAAGGGGAGAAGAAAAATGAATCTCTCTTTGAGCAGCCAGATGGAGGTGGAAAGAGAGAGCAAGGAGCTGAAAACAAAAAGTAGGGCATCTTTTGAATGAAGTTGCTATGTGCCACAATAACTGCACAAGAGTGAACGGATATTGCTTTTATGGCTTTGGGATAAGGCTATGTAATCTGATGTGTGATTTCACTCTTTATTGTGTACTTCTCTGTGCTACCAACACGGTTTGTTAGCTCTTCAGGAACGAGTCTTCTGTTTCCCTTTTGCTCTTTATTTCTTCCTTCCTTCTTTTTTTCCTCTCCTCTTTTTGTTTTTGTTACGGTCCCCAGGAAAATCATAGCTGAAGTAAAAATGGAACTGCATCATATGAATATTTTTCAAGTGTTAGCTATACAAAGTGTGCTTGGCAACCACAGGCAGCCATGGAAGCTGCACCTGAAAATGACTGATTCAGAGTAAGACAGCCTAGTTGTCTAGGGGGTTACACTGCACAATCATCAACAGAGAAAAGCACAAGCTGTTGCATGAGAGATTCCCCTTCCTGCCATGCTGTCTGAGCTTTCACAAGCAGAATCCTAGAGTATTTGGGAGATGTTTTGAGGCAGAGGGAAGCCAAATAATAGCTGAGGCTCTCCTGTGACTTAACTTCTCTTTGCCTGCTGCAAGGTCTAGATGGCCAAGAGACCCAGAACTGTCCTAAATATTACTGAGAGATGAATTAGCTGGGGCAAGACCACAATCCAAAGGTTCACAGACTGCCCACCTAGCCATTCCATCCCTTGTATAGTACCCAAACACCACCACCTTTGGGAATTTAAAGTGGAGGTGTAGCTGAAGCAGGAGTGCAGAGCACCACTCTCTGCTAAGGAGAGGTCCATGAGAATGGCTCACACAACTGCATAGCTAGAGAAAAATCTGGGTCTGGATACACGTAATTTTCACTATGCAAAGCAAAAAATATTTTTCAGAGCTGTGTTAACTCACATTTCTGGTTTACAGCCACTGATCCCAGTCAGTATCAGTTTTATGCCTGATGCACGTGTAAAGTTTTCTCCTTTGACTGTTAATTCACTTTTGCCTAATGTAGAAATCCACAAAGGCTCAATGGAATGAATGTTGATATGCTATTAGAAAACAAAGCAAAACAAAATCTGGTTATAAAAAGGCTAGGCTGTTAAGTGACAGCAACAAAAACAACCACTACCCAGAAACGCAGATTTGATGGCACTTGAATACACTTTTTAATTAATTTCCCATCTTGCTAAGTTTGAATCTGATCCTGGGAAGTCTTGGCAACCACAAATTCTTTACAGTCCAACTGTTTTTACCTACATAATTTATATTTCAATTTATCTGATAACAAAGTTGCTAAAAGGAAGTGCGATCTGACATACTGGAACACATGTATCACAAAAACCCAACTTGAAATGATAAATTTTGTGTGACCCTTGAGGGACTACAACAACACAACAGGAGACAAAACTCATGGTGCTATCACTGTGAGAGATCAGAAAAACAAATGAAGGCATCCCTCGTGACCTGAGAAGGGGAAGCAGGGTCAAACTCTAGAATGAAAAGTCAAGAAAGAGCCCAGAACTGGAAAAGACTTGTCAGTAAAGCTAAGTCATATGTAGAGCTAAAGGTACAACACAATTGCAGGGGTCTTTTGGTATCACATTTTGATGCAAAGATGTTAACAAATCTATCTTCCAGCATTTAAAAATAGTGCCAGTTTGTTCTGATGATGTCAGTCTTACAGAAATGTGGCCAATTTTTAAACTTTGCTTTTCTTCGCAAATCTTTTTATTTACTTATTCTTTTACTAACACTACTGGGCAAGAATAGAGACTTTTTACCTAGCTTATTTACTTGAAGCACTGGACAGCATCTCATGTTTAATCAGTTTTGTTGCTTCCCCAGTTTATCTTACAGATTTATACGGTCAGTTTCCTCCCTTTGCATCTTTTAGACAACAATAGAAAAGTGAAAACATCCAAAAAACCAGGAAAATAGGCATGCGAAACCAAAAATTGTTTGGGACCTTCTCAGGCAAATGACTTCTACCTTGGTTTTAGACTGCCTAGAAAAGTAGTCTAAAATAAGCTTTTAGAGTTTTGCAATTATCCTATCCTGACTTCTGCTGAGTTCACATGTGGACACGTCCATGCACGTTCAGCCTTCCCTCTTTGTAAGGCCGGCTCATAACCCGCTGACTCTGATACTGAGAACAGAGCTGGTGCAGAACCTATATGCCAACTAGGAAAGTCCCTGCAACAGGGTTTTTCTCCCTACTAATCTTGTTATGTCTTTTTATCCGAGCACCATCACGACTTTGGGCTCAAAGCCAGGTGAGCACCTGGGTCACAGAACCCAGTTCTCTGCAAATCTGCCTGGTACAGAAAGATCCCTGGCATGTTTTCCCCACATGCTACCACCACCCACAGAACACTTCCCAGCGCTCCAGAATAAACGCGGACCCGTCACAACTGACCAAATGCCACAACTTGTGCCTCAGGAAAGAGTAGGAGTACAAAAGCCGGGGCCAGAAGCCCTGTAAAAACAAGGAATTTGTTGAAGAAATTCCTTTGCTCCAAGATGATTTCTGGATACAAATAATGGAGGATCAAAGCAAATCCTTGCCAAACCGCCTGAAGAGGAAAATTTGCTCCCACTCTGATCTAGGGATCAGCTTAACCCTTAGCATGCGAGGAGGACAAATGAAGCAGAAACCTGAGCGTTTAAAGCCTGTGAAGCACCAGTGCTTTACCCCACCTACATCCTGTCTTTGCCTGCGCCCAGTCCCCAGTGCACCAGAAGAAAGCATTCTCAGACAAACCCAGAAACCAGGAGTACAAAATTGCTTCTGGGCTCTCACAAGTAACTAGCAGGAATCCTCAAGCACAGGATTAACACAACATAAATAAATACAGCACAAGCCTGCAGAGATCCCCCAGGGCTACATCAAGAAAATGAGTACCAGAGACAGAAACATAAGGCGTCCTATGTCCAGGGATGTTGTAGGCCAATGCGGTGCTTCAGGACTCAGGCTAGTCTCTCTGCAAGGTGCTGCACACCACAATGTGCCTGTGCCGGCTAGCACTGGTCCGTGAGGGCTAACAGCGGTGCTGTACTGTGCTAGGGGAACATGCCTTCCTGCACAGTACCTACAGCAGAGCTTGCTCTCCTCGAAGAGCCAAGAGCTGCCTTGCACCGAGGCACACCCAAGGCGGTCGTAGGGTGCAGCCCAATTAGGCATCTGAAGAGTAGGCTCCCTCTGCCCTCTTCTGAGCACCAGGACTTCTAGGCCTTGGGGAAAACTAGACTTCCCCAAACTTCAGCTAACAGCCAGCACTTAAGCAAGGAAAGAGAAGTTTCGGGAGATGAAAAAATGGTACAGTTATAGAGAACACAGCCTGCTTCATTCCTTTTTTTATGCTAAGTAGAAATGGTGGTAGAAATGGTTTGGTCTTGAAGCTTCCCCCTGGAATTAGGCCTTCCCTGTGGCTACATGACACCAACTTCTCTGCTGAATTCTGTCTCAGACTCTTGGTTTTAGTGCAGATATTCACAGGTCTGAGCCACACTAGCCTGAGGCACTTGAGTGCCTGTTTCCTGACTTGACTGTGGCTGTCAGCAGCACTTACATTTCTCAGCAACAAAGAAACTGTGAATCCCATCTCCGAACGCAGGAGAAACAAAGCTTCTGCAAGGGCTAGCTGGGGCCTGCGGGGCTCATTTCCCTAGCAAAAGAGTGCCACTGACCTTTCAGCTTCTGCACGCAAAGCCCTGCCTGGCAGGGAGAGAGATTCCCAGCAATAAGAAGCAAAAGACAGAAAAGAGGCAGAAAGATATCAGCAGTTGTGAGGCATGCACACAGGATGGTGATGAAAGCAACATAAACACATAGAGAGGTATACATAAAGCGTGCTCGAGGTCCTCAGGTAAAGTAAATCAGCATGACCCTGTCAGCTTCAATAGAGCTACACGTTTCTGAGATCTAGCCCTCTGTCCTCTGGCCAGTGAAACACTTCCCGGGGCTGTGTAAACAGTGACACCCTTAGAGGTGCAGTTAGCAGGGCTGCAGGTCACAGTGAGGCATTTGGCAGGAGTCCAGTCTCTGCAGCCTCTGCCACCTTGGGCAGCTCATCCCCATTCCTGCACAACTCCTCCTCTCGCGCTGGCACAAGACTCTGAGGCTACAGGGCGAGCTGGACCTTGCAACTGACCCATATGAAAAATTAACCTACCAAACGGAAACATTCATTTCCAGCCCAATTAGCTCCCCACTCTAGCTCACACACAACCACCCAAACTGCTGTCCTCGTGCAAGTGGGAGGAAGGTGCATGAGTAGGAGCTAGCAGCTGGAGTCAGGAAGGAGGGCTGGGACTGCCAGTAAAGAAAAGTACATTAAACTAAATTAAAATAAACGCTTGGCAGGGGCTATGTGAAAACACAAATCCTCTTTTTCAGCCCTCCAATACGTTCCCCTTAAAGCATGAGCAGTAAAAGGAGAGCAGGATTTCAAATGCAATTTTAAGTCTTCTGAATGTATTAATCACTTCTAAATAAACATCTGCCTTTGGACTGCCTCTACAGCTTTCACAGCCTTGTCCATCACTCTCTCTCCAAGATAAAGCGTGTGGAAGAAAGCCACCTCCCAGGCAATTCCAACTGTTTACCAATGTCAAATTAATGCACTTGGAAGCAGAATAAAGAATTTCCTCTGTTCTTTCATCAGCAGTAATGCTTTATATGCAGACCAAGTCCATAATATCAATATTCAGAAGCAAAAAATATTACAATCCCACTTGTCTCTGTGCAAAACAAAATGGATTTTGTAATTCTTTTAAGAAACCTCAGTTGAACAGCTGGATTTAAGAGGTAATTCTCCTGTTCACAGGTAAAAGTTTGGGTAGTTCTAATGAGACATTTAGAGATAGGAACACAGTGTCTATTTATACCAACCATGCTATCACTCATAGAAAGGCAGAAACCAAGAAGTGTAGGCAGCAAATCTCTATGTACTTGCTCATCAGTCAAATTCCTCTTCACTACTCATTTCTCTCCTAACACCTGCATGTCATAAGCAACCACTGATGACAAGATTGCTCAGCTTTATGAAAAAAGAAAAGCATTTTGGCACCATAAAGAATGAAGGGATAACCTCGTGGTTAAAGGACTGTCCTGGGAGGCAAGAGGGCCGAGTTCATACACTGTCTGATTTCAGTAGAAAGCTTAAGGACTAGGTTTACAAGGGTACTTTGGCACCAGTGACACTCCTTCCTTCCCAGTGACCCAGCTTGAACAGGCGAGATGGAGAGCAGCTCCACCACCAGTTCTGTCTGAAGCCTGGAAGCAAGAAAAACTTTTCTGGAAGCAGGAGCCAAGGATTTCCTAACACTCAGGGATTCCAGTTCCCGGATGCATCCTCTAGCCACTTGTCTGCTACGCAGAAAGTGGGTGGCACATCCTCCCCTTCCTTCTGTTCCCCTGGCAGCCTTTTTTTTTTTTTTTTTTTAAGATAAACTGATCCGGCTGCTTAAAATGAGAAGGAGATTTGCAGCTCTGAAACCTAGTTTCACAGAGCTGTCTGTGATAGCAGCCCTCAAACAGGCATTTAAGTCCTGGTAAGAGACTAAGTCAGAGATGTTCTCCTTAAATACAGCACACATGGACTCTGGCATTTAAGGCAATATTGTAAATACTGCACTTAGAGGTAGGCACTTGACCTTTACAGTGCTTACTGCCACAATGTCTGGATCTGAAACTCAAATCTTTGTTTGTGCCTTTAAGCAATAAAATAAGAAAAAGTAGTACTAATTAAAGTTCTGCACTACCTTTCTATATAACTGTCTGCTTCCTCATCTTTACCTCTACTCTTTCTGCAAGAGTACATTCCCTTTACATGAATTTCTCCCGCAGCCCACAGTATCTTAATAATGTCTATCTCAAAATGCTAACTAACCTCTGATTTCTGTGCAGTGGTGTTCCCCTTGGAAGCAGCAGTGGCTTCTGCATTACAACTATCCTAAAAAAAAATAAATAAATAAAAATAATCAGTATATCTCCATGTCAGGACAAGGAAGAGACATATTGCTGCTCAGATGTAAAAAATACAAGGAAAAAGAACCACAGGAGATTCCAGTCCTCCCCACCAAACTTCACCTGGCAGGCAGTGGCAGGAGAGACACGCTTCCTTTTACAGCTGGCACACTCACCCTTGTGTATACATCGTGAGCAGCTGGCAACATAGAAAACAGAATTTTTGTAAGACACAGGGACTCAATCTAGATTCAGCCATGAACGTGAAATTTAAGTGACAAAAAAAGCACAGACCCGAGAGAACAATCTGGCAAACATATAATGAAATGTGTAAAACACATACACTGTGTTTACTCTCCAAACCTATTGTTCTGTTCTGCTTATTCTGAGGACAAATTTAGTATGAAATATAATTTATGCTGTGAGTCATAAATTTATGAAAAGCACGAAGCAGACAGAATACTCTGTGTTTCATTTTGCTGTGGTTTTCTAGCAAGTGGCCAGATCATATTTTTTATCCAGAGAAGGGCAGAAAAAATCATCACTGACTCTTTCACAGCTTTCCTGAACTTCTGTTCTGCATCCGTAGCGTTTACAAGTATTGCAAGCTTCCTACTGCTTCCCCCACCACAAAAATATATGCCAGTTGGAGACAAGTTTGTCCCTATCTTGCTTTGTAATACATCAGTCAGTAGGAAGGGCTGACAGCAGCAAAACCCCCCTCTGCACCTGCTGACAAGTACTGTGCTTTAGAGAAAGACAGTTCCTTCCCTGTGTTGCTCCAGGGCCAGGGAAGTGATATGCCAATTCTCAAAAAGCCGGAGCTCAGTTTCTTCCCAGGTGCCTATGAATTAGCCTCTATATATAGGGAAGAGCTGAGCTCTGAAAGGGAGCGCTGTAGTTACCTAGAGAGTACGTTAGCCAGACCTTTCTAAGGTTTTACAACTGTGTATCATAAAGGGTTATTCAGTATACTGGGCACAAACTCTATCTACTGAGAGCTCGGAACAAAGACTATGGTTCTGAAGAATAATTTGTATAGAACTGCAGGTATTCATTATTACATTCATTATTACTGTCAGCAGATTAGATGTTACTTCCTGTTTTAACTGTACTCACAGTACCTGCATCTCACATTTAAATGGCATCCCGATCGATTAAAAAACAACTCCAAAAGGTGACTTTTACAGAACCTCTTGACTTTTTCAGTTGACTGAAACTCCTCTGATTCCAATTTTATCCTGAGCTAGTAATAGGTGGCCCTCCTTTCTCACACAGACAAAATGGATTTTAGTATCATTGTGCTGCCCTTCATTATCTTATCAGGTACTTGTCCTAAGTGACCTGCATTGTAATAACTCTCCTATAGCTGCCAAGGTCCTGATACACCAAAGAAGCATCACATGCAAGTAGCTTTCTAAGAACAAAGAAAAGAGGAGAAATGGGCCCACAAAAAGTGTTTTCGCTATCTCTAGTGAAATGTATTTCCTTTCATAAAAACCCAGCAAACATACTTCAGCCCGCCTCCCCGCACACACACACAAACCCCTCGATGCTCTTCAATAAGAAAGAGTTCTTACTTTTTCAACTGAAATGTTTGTGTGATGTTCCAAGAGCTTGAGGACAGCGACGCTTCGAGAACTAGACAATCTGGAAAAATGTGACTGTTAAGACATATGCTGGATATTACAAGAGATTACTGTAAAAAAGTAACTGACTTGCAGTCTCATGTGCCTTCAGCTGTTCTCTACCTGGTAGGCACTTCCTTCTTCTCTCACGCACACATTCACTCACACTTTTGACTGACAAAAATAGATTTTGTCCTTCAACAGCACCTTTCAGCACCTTATTCAAAGACTTTACGCATACTCATTAATTGACCTTGATGTCATCTCTGTATGACATAGAGAAGTAACGATACTGTCAGGATACAGATGAGGAAATGCAACCATGAAGCAGGGATATAAAAATCACCCCCCAAGAGCACATAGCACACCTGTGGCACAGGCAGATCCTGAATTCAAGCCTTCTAAGGCAACAGACTGTTGTAATGCAAGAGATCCCAATATATCGTACTTCTCTCTTTTTGTCTCACTTGGTTTCAGAGCCTTCTTTTGTAATCTATGCAGTAGCAATTTTCATCCTATTTAAATCTTTTATGATTGCATGAGTCAATTTGCCATTATTTCAGCTCGTAATTACTGTCCCGACAATTCGCTGGCAGCTGTGGAATGAAAGAGTATCTTCTCCCATGAGCAGAATACCACATCGAAGAGCAGAGTCAGATACACCACTTAAACCATGGTCCCTTTCATTTGCGTGCCTGCAGATGTGTATGTCTGCAAAACGAGTGTCTGTCTGAGATCAAATGAAACCCACGTGTGCAGAGTCTTCTGGCTTCTCTATGCTAAGAAGCAGATGGCTTCTTAATATGTGAAAGCTACGCATTTAAGGTACACCTACTTTGCAAAGGTACAGAAAGCTTGTCTTTATCACAGGTCGGCTTGTCCAGATAAGAACCAGCTTTGGCTACACCTAAGCTGTTAAATCAGAAGAACCACCCGGCTCCACATGTCAGGATGGCACCCAGGTGCTCACTGCAAAGGTCACCTGCACTGCTGTTTAGAAACAGCTCTGGGACTGTTCATGCGCTTAAACACCTTCCTAAATGGAAGACACAGAGTCTGATTTGCAAAGGTATTTTAATGCTTGAAGATCTAGATGAGCACATGAGATATTCTGAAGTCCCTCGCTAAGCACCTCTTTGCATCTCTAAAAATGTACATATATATCTGTGGAAATCTGACATGTTGGACGTAAAACTGCCTAAATCGTTTGTCTAAGTCATTATATGAGAAGGGTCTCAAGCCACCAGCTACGGAAAAATGGTATTTTACTAAGAGTAATACGTAAAAGAAAGGAATTAATCTGCTTCTGGTAAAGCTTATCTTCTCTTTCAAGAGAAGAAATACTTTAGAAACAACATTATCAAATATGGTTTGTTGGTTTTGTCTCTGCTGAAATTCATGAAAAAAAAAAAAAACTATTTTCTATATGGCTGCAGCTGAACTTTCAAAATGCACCAGACTGCACTGAAGAGTAGGTATTTTCAAAACTTTTTTTTCCAGGAGTAATTCCTCAATGAGTTTTGCAAGTGCATGTTCTGATGAGACCGAAGAGTCACTTTATATGAGGTACTATATACGGCCAATATGACTTCCACATCTATAATTATATTATCCACTAATATGTCTCAGCTCATAGGAGCATGTGAATGGCAGTAATGACACAAAGGCAGGGCGAGCAAGCCTCCACTACACTACGCTCAGAAGACTGGCTAATGGAGAAAGTCCCAGTCGGAGGAGACAGAGAACCAATGACAATGAACTCCACAATTATAAGAAAGCATGGCTTATGGGACTTGGTCAATAAGGGGCATTTTTTACTTCTCTAATGTATTCGTATTCTTAAGAAGCCATTAATAAGTGCTCACTAAAGACAGTTTAATAGACTAGAATACTCGTGTGTTCTATGAGTATCCTAATACTCGTGACACCCTAGCTGTCACCTATTAAGCACAATGGCTTTTCTTCTTGATTTTCAAATCAGTATTAAGACAGGCACTTGATACACAAAAAATACATGATATGCATTATGATATGCAAAGTCCATAGGATGAGCTCCTGAGATCCCAACGTTGCAAGGAACCTGCCTTAGGGGCAAGGATCCCCTAGAGAGCTCTTTGCAGCTCTGCAGCCTACCAAAATCCAGGACATTGTAAGTTCTTGTTAACATTTCATTCCTCTTTCTACACAAAGTTATTGTAAGAGATCAGATTTATGCAAAATGTTACATACGTTTTGGGCTACATTATCCAGGAAAAGATGAAGGCACACACGTATCTAAATTTTCTGTTTTCTATTTCTATTTCCTAGTTTGCTATCTTTATCCTCTGGTTTAGATTTAAGCTCTCTTCTGTGTTCTAACATAAAAAAGTGTGCAAATTCAAACTGTATTAAAAGAGTTTTGTGCTTCTATTCAGACCCCGGAAGCAATGCAAGAAGGATTTTTTCCTTCTATTAATCAAATAACACTCTGTTGTGAAGGTTTATCATCTGAACTTTGAGATCAAAGCCTAGAGAACAGCTCAAAATTTCCAAAAGTCTAGATATTTAGTAATTCACCACCTCATTCTAAGACCTACAATAACCCCAAAAATGCACAAAAGTGATCATGCAATCCATGTGTCCAACACAAATTTCTCAGGTCTGTAATTCTGAGAGCTCACTCCTGGTGAACAAACTAGTGTAAGAATTATTGCATAACAATTCAACCATAATTTGGAAATATAAATCAAGTCAAACACATAAAGATAAACTAGCCGTATTAGTCCTGAAGCACGTGTTTTTCTGCTTATCTATAGATGGTAATCTCTGTATGGGAAAACCACTTTCTGACAAGTGTCTGAAGCAGGTTGAAACAGTTAACTGAGTGTGAAGATTATTTATTGTACAGACATTCGTAGTCAAATTCTCCTCTTATTTATGCTGGTACAGCTTCCTGCAAAAACAAGTTCTGTTTGCAGATGAGAGAAGGGCTAAGATGAGTTAATTTTCCCAGGCAGAGCACTGAACAGCACTGCTTCCATGACTCCATCCAGCTTGCTTGTACTTGCAGCTACCTTAAGTTTCCTTGCCTAGCTGGTAGCTGCACCATGTAGACACACTCCTAAAAAGACGGAACTGCTATAAGCCGAACTAAGGAATCTGCTTCTAGCTACGAATGTTAAAATATTGTATTTCTTCTAGAGAGGACCCTACAGTAAAAAAACATTAATTATCCAGAATAGGGTAAATACACTCAAATCACTTGCCAGAACAGGAATAATTGTTTTTAATGTCATTTAATAAACAGCATTACCTACACTTACACTCATTAGGCCTGTGTTTATGCTCAGTTCTCCTCAGCAATAAAGGACAATGAATAAGTATCAAATGGAATATTAAAGCATACCATTATCAGTTATCACTGGTGTAGTTAGATTGCAGAAACAGGATGAGTTTTTCAGCATTACATTTTCATAAATTATTTCAATAGGTTTTATAATTTTCACCATACAAGAAGTAAGGATTTTACTTATACTTGCAGCCACAGTAACCTATAAAAACACAAAAAAATAACAGATTTCTTGTGATACTTGTTAAGCTGTCATCTTGTCCTTACAGAAAACTTCAAACTCAAACTATGGAAAACACAAAAGAAAATCTTCATGGCAGAGCAGACAATTTACTAAGTAGCCTCTCAAAGGAAAAGGCCTCTCCCAACTGGAGAAGTAATACAAAAAGAGTGCTGAAAGGAACATATTGCTTACTTACTGAAATTAAATGGATCTGCAAAATATGTGAGGGGAACAATTTGGAACACTTTGGAATTTCAAACTAGAATTTTGCTGTAACAGTGTTATATGCTGTCCCTTAAAAATATTTGATCAAGAACGCACAAATCATCACAGAAAGCTTACTTTTGCATCAATATCCAAAATGCACTTAATTAGGAAACAGAATTTGTCTTATAATGAATTATCCTCTGTTCTGACAGACAGTGCTTTACAAATACGAGCACATTAGTGCATTCAATCAGGAAGCCAGAGACAACAGCATGCAAATTAAGTGGCCAGTCACAATACTTGACAATCAAATATGCAAGGCTATGTTTGCTGTGAACAGACATTGAATAAACACTAATACCAAACTCTTTAAGACATATTTATGTTAGTACATATGTCCCAGTGAACGTTTTGTAGCTTATTATAAAGCTCAGAACGTAGATAATACACTTGATACATACTCACTGGAAATAATAACTAATATAATGGAAGCAATGTCGGCACAGCAAATTTTTGACTCAACATCCAGAAATATAGCTTGAGGACACATTTTATAACAGAGGAAGAGAATATCGGTCTGATCTATATATTCAGCTGGGTTTTCCTATATATTGGACAATTGTTTAGATAAGAACTAATATATGGAGCATACTGACAAAAGCATAAGCTGCAATGAGTGACAGAACACCACATTTAAAACCATAATAAACAAATTGTGCGTGTACATACCTGATTTCTGGCAGGGAAACTTAGCAGGATTTTCAGATCTTTATCAGGTGCATGTGAAATGTTATACCAACCCTTTGTGCTGTTTGAATGTGCACAATTTTCTTTTAATGTGCACCTAAAAAGGACACAGGACACACAAAATTATACTAGCCTTCTTATGGCGGGCCTTGATTACAGACACTGTACTTCAACTTATTAATGCTATTGATTTTTTACGGGAATGCAATTGATTTTTTTATAGGAATACAGTTACTGCCACAAAAAGCTCCAGGAAAACAACCAGGAAAATCATCTGCTTATCAAAATAAATTACAATGCATTGATGTATGCTCTAGGGTCCTGATAAAGTCAATGGGACTCAAGGAAACATTAGATGCTTGGCCAATAACGACGGACTTTATAGCTTGAGCTGCAATTCATCACTGTTTCAATGCAGAGCTCTAGACCCAATCCCTCAGTTCCCTCCACACTCAATGGAGAGACATAAACTCTTTTAGGGTGAGATTCACCTGATGTATTTTAGAAATTCACACAAAAATGAGATGAATCACACTATAGAAGCTGCTCTTTCTCTCCACTGAGTGTAAGAGGAGCTGAGGTTGAAGCTCAGACGCAGAGCTAAGCTATAGACAAGTATAGCTGATGAGACGTATCATTCCTATTAATCTTGTTCACTGCCCCCTGATGTGAGTGGTAATCTTTCCCTTTCGTGCCAGTGGACTTGGTTCAAACATCTGTTTCGAAAAGGTACTTCAAAATAGATTTCTCCATCTTCAAGAATAAACTCAATTTCAGAAGCACGATGGCACAAATGAAATAAAAATGCTATATAAAGCAAATTGTTGGAAATAGAAAGTATACAACGATATAGCACAAAATTATGGAAGAATAAGGAAACACTGGGAAATATAAACACTATAAAGATCACACATACTAATACCTGCAAAAAAAATCAGAACATTAGCATACAAATTAGATGGGCAATCACTCAGTTTGAAAAGTGATTCCTTAAAAAACTGTCTGGTGAGAAGAGTTAATGAACAATCCATAGCTTAACTCCAAAAAATTTCAGATAGCTAGCAAGTCAATACAAGTAAGCGATCACTGCATATATCTGAAAATTTTAGCGTTCATTTCCAGATATTACGTAAGAGTATTTTCCCCCAAAACAGACTGCTTGAATTAGGTGGAAAAAAAAGTATTAGGCCTCTTGCACAAAAAAGCAGAAGCACAGGTAGCCTCAACCATGTGACCAGTTGCATGGGCCTTAATGAACTATTCCTTTCCTAAACATTAGATATGTGCACACGTTTGCAAAACATGGCCTTGATAAAAAAAATTCATGAGGATTTTTCAGAGCTCACTGTATAAACACATTTAGACAAGAGCTTTTGCTGCAGAAGAAAAAAAAACAGCAAATGAAAGATTTCCAAGAAAAATTTCTACCACTTTCCAAAATGCCTAAAGCAACCCCACAAACAGACCATATAGCCATTTTCTCTGTAAATCAAGGTGCTGGCAACAGGAATGCAGTTAAACACAAGGTCACTTCCTGTGTGGGCTAACTCTGGAAACGGAGTTCCTGCTGCACAGGAACGTGCCGGGGCTTTGCATCGGAAGACACTCAGATCATAACTATACTATAATAAATTGAGAATGTTTGACATATTTCAAATTGACTTAACTAGGACAAATTTTGGTCGCATATGTATCTCTCCTCACATTGCTGAGATCACCAAGGTACAAAAGCACCACAGTTTTTGAATCACAGAGGGCAAGATCTCTCAGCAACAAATATCTATAAACCTAAACATCTATAAGGGATGTGTAGGTAACTAACTCTCACTGGGAATGTGACACGGGAGACAGACAGCCAAGAGTTTCGGGCGGTCTCAGGCTCTCCTGTTGAAGACGCAAGGAAACACAGTTACCATATTCGCCACAAGACAAGCATATAGATTTCAGTGACGCTAATACTAAAGAAAACAATTACAAAGCTCAATCTCAAACTGCTCAGGACAAAAATATTTGCACTCTTAGACTGCCTGGGCAAAACAAGTAGCGAGCCAGTTTCCCTCATTTGTAAAGAAGAATCTAACAGTTACATGACAAAAAAAAAAAAAAAAAGTCACGTCACCCAGGACCCAGGGCTGTGTATGTTTTTGTGTTAGGGAAAAAATGCATCTTTTGCTGCTCTGAAAGCTGGCCCAGAATGTGCTAAGGGGAAAGGTCATTTTGTAGGAAACATCAGCAAAGGGGAAAGTAGAACATCCGGCGCCTCTCAGCATAAACGCAATTGCCTTGTACAGGCCAACAACGTGAAGTCCACTTGCTTAAGGATGAGATTATTTTGTTACAGTCCTATTTCAAGACAGTCTATATTGTTGGTGAGTGTATTGGAATGAATGTAACAGATAAACGTTATCCGAGAACCACATGCTGCTGAGAAGGGTTTATCAGCATTTAGGTTCAGACAACTCCTAAGAAAGTAAAAAAAAAAAAAAAAAAAAAAAAGCCGAATGGCTGAAAGTAGCTGAAATTTTCTGGAGTTTGGCTTTCCTGGAAAGGTGGGCTGGGCCAGACCCTATACAACATGAAAAGACTGAGACAGGGTAGCAAGAACGGACAAAAAGTAAAATGTGAGATTCATTAGTCATCCCCAGACAGAGAGCAAATTTAGGGAGAAGGATCCTGAGGCTTCCATGAGAGATGAAGGGGCAGTATCTGCTTTAAGCACGCAGTGCATCAGATGTCCCACCTGCACAGATTTGCGTACAGAGAAAAGGAGAGAGAAGAATTTCTCTTATCTTTCACAGCAAGCTAGTTCTTAATGCTACTAAAGATCCCTCTTCACAATGTGAGTCACATTCCTCTTATTTCCTGATGAACGGTACCTACGCATACTGGCTCATTCATATGTATGTAAATCTCTGCTTCATTAACCATTATATTAACCACAGATCCAATTGAGTTTGTTCTCTCTGTCTTACTGCAGGATGCTGCTTGCCTTGTAGAAGAGGAAAATGATTTCAGAGAAAGTTTTGGCTTGATTTTCCATGATACCAAGCCCTAAATGAAGTCTGTAGATACCACAAGTACTGATCAAATTTGAAAGTCAGACTCATCATATCAGATAAATAAGATACGTTGTACTATTTCCACATTGAAATACATGGAAAACATCACTGCTTTGTACTGGAGCAATTTCAATATACTTCAGGTAAATCTGATTCATCTGAAGAGAAATCAATATACATTAAGAAAAATCACACTATGCTATGACTAATTCTTTTCAATGATTGTAAGTGGTAAGGGGAATTTATACATTTGTCCTTATGGAACAAAGAGTAGAAATACAAAGAATAGAAATATTTTGTTTCATTTTGTTTTTACTTCCAATAGGATATGTATTTTTTTTCATCAAAACATTGGATTTGAATCCACAGTCTTTAAAATGAAGCACTGCTAATAAGTTTTATTAAAAATTGGAATAGATATTTAACATAAAATTTATTCTCTAGTAAGAGTGTAAGATATATCATCAACCTCTTTAACACAAAATCCACATTTTGTCTCCTGACAACACCAGGAATATTTTTCCAAATAACAAAAATGTACTGTGAAGCATATTGCTTTAGTGCACATGTGCAGGCTTTACTAAAAACATTTACTAAAAACATTTCTTTCTCTTTTTCTAAGGCTTCACTCAGAACTACATCTGCACAAACACACACATTTAATGATCCTAAGTGCTTCACAAAGAAAAATGACATAGGTATTAAAGGGGATTCATGTTACAGTAATTCACTTTTTCTCCAAAAGAGTAAATTATCTCTGTTTCAACCAGGTGGAAACTTTTGGTGATTCCCCTCATAAACAGGAGATTTACTGACTAATAACCGTTATTTTCAAGTTCTTTATAAGGTAATTAAAAGCCCGAAATTTTAACACTCTTAACATATACAGCCTCCAATAAGAGAGCAAAAGAGGGTTTGAAGAAAACACATCAGAGAACAGAAATCTAGTCTCTTCTAATAACCACCTTTGCAAACACAAACAAGCAAGTCTTCAACAACGTCATGTTGACACTGAAACAAATCAAAATGGGTAGTATTAACCTTCTAAAGGAAGGTCACTGCTGGAATTTCTCGAAAAAAATCAATCTTGTAACCATTTTGGCTTAACGTTTTAGTCGCTGATGAACTGGCATAAAAAGAAGGTATAGGCGGATGACATCTGCTGATGATATCAAGTTGAGATCATTATCATGCAGAGAAGAATCAGAACATCACACAGGAAAACTTGGATAACCTCGAAATAGGATGACATTTCATAGCACAAAATGCAAGAACGTGTACTTAGAGCAATAGAAACCTCACAACCCATATGTGCTTTAGACTGGAAACTTATTAGTTGAAGGGGGGGAGGGGAAAAACAAAGAAAGAGAAGGACCTGGGGGCATTATTCGATCATGGATGATTGTGGCCCATCAATGTGATGCAGTCATGGAGAAGACATCTGTAATTCCAGGACATATCAAGTAAGGTGCTTCCTGGACAGACTGGGAAAGATTAAACACTACTGAGCAAGGTGATTCTCTGCTGAAATACTATGACAGTCCTAGTCATCCATACTTAAAAACATGCATAAAAACTGCACAGAAGGGCTATTATTGAAGTTGGCTGTTTTAGTGCAGCAAAACAAAACTGAAGAAAGGGACTGCTTTTACGAAAATATTGAGGTGGTGAGTGGGAGGGAGGGGAAAAAAAAAATCTATTTAAGCCAAGGCAACGTTGGCAGCAGAAGAATGGGTATAACCTGTCTATGAATACAATCGTGATGAAAACAAGGAGAAAGGTTTAAACTAGCAAAACAGCGAGGCTCTTGGATGGCCAGGCAATCCAAGCAGTGAGGGCAAAAGCCTACCTCATTTCAGGACAGGGCTTGATCAGTTTGAGTGGGTTTATATAACATGGTTGCTTGCAATAGTCAGGACTAGCCTTGATGACCTGGGAAGTCCTCCAGTCCACTTTCCATGCCCAGAAATACAGTACAGTAGTTTTGAAACCCGCTTCAAAGAAAGCAAAACTAGTGACTTGACTGGGAGGAACTTGATCTGTTCTAAAACCAAAATCATTTCTTCTTTTTAGCCCAACATAAATTTTATGTGTGGATCTCAAAAATCTGAGGGTTAATATGGTCTCTAAAAGGCAGAGAACTCCTTTGCACATGACAATAAAGTGGCTCACCTTTATGGCTATGATTGATTTCATACAAATTCAGTAGATACAAAGATATGTTATCTTAATGCTGAATAGCCCCAAGCTAGTAAAAACATACAGTAAGTAATAATGTATTGCTTTTATATGTAGGTCTAAAATACCAGAAAATACCTTTGATTCAAAGAACACCACCCACAGTAAGGATCCTTTGCAGATAAGCATTCTTGCTGGGAAACATATCTACCGCAATTTGCAACTGGTATTCTTCTCACCTAAAACCAAAGAATAGAGTGAATAAAGCAGCCTCCATAAGTAGAGGAAATTGAAGATTACCTTCAAAAATCTGAAGGCATCCAAACATGATGCCTTTGGGGAAGTTCCCGTATGTGCTCCTCTATGCCGGAAGACATCCGTAGCCTATTTTACACACATCGTATTTTGCCATCAGATGATGAAACTACTCTGACAACGACAATTTGATTCTACTGCTAATTAGCCAGCATGGACAAAGCAATGCATGAAAAACTGATTAGCACTGTGATAGGAAGGAAGTATATTTTATGAATAATGTTCTGCTTAGCAGAATACTGTTTTCCTCACAGCACAACTGAAATTTTTAAATGACTGATGAAGGTGCATCCAAAAATGCAATTATGTTTGCATCAACATGTCAGGTAACTGCATGGTACAAACGCATGCAACTACCAAACATGCATGCAACTACCATTTCCGTAGGTAAATATAGATAACTGTGATTATATTGTATGTATCTATACTTGTACACTCAGCTTGAATTTCCTAGTCAGCCATTTTCAGAAAAGGAGGGGAAAAAAGAAAAGAGAAATCTGTTTAAAAACACAATAATGTCGTTAATAATAACGTGAATTAATAGTATTCATAAGAAAAACATTCCTGATTCAAAACATTTGTTTACAAACCTGCAAGAGTTAAAAGTTCCTATATTTTGTTGACAGAAAAAAAGAATATATGTCTTTATGCAGAACTTTATTTACTGTTTTTTTCCAACTACATATTACAAAACTCAGTTTAACTGGGGATGTTTGAGATAATCAGTGGGTTCAGGAACCTGCCAGTAGCTGTTTGTAAAAGCTGTTGCTCCTCCATAACAATATGTTCTTTTATTAAAGCTAAAGAAAAGCCAAGTCTTTACTGTGTATATTTACATATACACATAAATGAAGGTATCAAAGTGCTTGGTGAAATCATGCCCAGCTGCGATAGCCAGACAGCCCATGCGTTTTCACTGCTGTCTTCCCAGCTGCTAGTGAGATGAAGGAATCTGCAGAATTTGTGCTCAGCAGCCTTGCTGCAGCACATGCTGCAACAACTGCACCAGCTCTCCAGAGCTGCTCTCTGCTCAAGTGCTGTTCTGACACAACTGCCCACACACAGCAGCTCTCAGTGCATCCTGGACTCCTTGGCCTCACGCTGCATACACATTCATCACTGATTGTGTCTTTTTCTTTTTTCTTTTCTTTCTTTCTTTTTTTGGAGTCTTGGTCTAGCTGAAGATGATAAGAATTTTATCACTAACCTCAGCAGGACTAAGACTTCAAACCCACCTCTTGAGTTAAGAGACTCCTCCATATCAAAGACTTGCATAACCAAATAGCAAACACTGGCCTACCAAGGCAAATTCAGAGTAACATCCTCTCCAAAGCATCTATTAAGCTGTGTTTCCCAACTCCAAGTTTGATTTTGCATGATGCCAGACAGATATGCAAGGCTCCAGGAAAAAGAGAAACATTAAGAAACTCTAAATAGAACAACTTAAAACAAGCATGGGATTAAGGGCCTTGCTGGGCCAGAGCAACGGTGGGCAGCATCATGCACATGGACGCCCCCATGAGCTCTGCAGAAGTGCAGACAAAACATGTAAATCTGGTAACCTGAGTTTGGATACTTAAGGCCTCACTCTGATCCAAACAGATACTTCACTTAAAAAGACATGTAAATCCCTAAAGCAGCAGTTTACTTGAATTTAATGTTGTACTTACCTTACTAGCAGAGGACAAATAGATGTAGTTACTATCTACAGGATCAAGTCGAAGTTTGGGGAAAATGGAAGTTTCTTCCTTAATTTCATATAAAACCTCTGGGCAATTAGATTCCATATCCTCATTAAGAATAGCCTAAAATAAGTGAAAGCAAATTATTCACAAACCCTTTTATTTATCAGTATTTTAAACTTAAGTCTAATTTTTGCTCTTTTACTATCTATATCAGAACCTCTGAGACGATTTACTGTGCTCTGATAAAATTCAAAACCATACCCGGCTCTCATACCGCAGAAAGATGGACGAAAAGGCAGGCAGAACAGAATTTCTACCACATACATGTCAGACACATTTTGCACTGAATCTGGCACTGCTATAATGTACGAAACATCCTTTCCATCAAATGTGTTCCTGATTGACAGAAAAACTGAATATGGAAGAGATAGCTATATCCCAAATAAAAGTCATAACACGTTAAGTACTTCTATGAATGGAGTGGAGAGTAGGGTGTTCAGAAAACAAATTAACATCCAGGACACCCCCAGATGAGAACCACCATCATGTGAAAAGGAACCTATCCAGTTCCGGTAACTATGCCAGTTACCGACAACTGTTTTCAAGACAGAAGCTTCTTTGTGGCTTCTGTGAGTATATACTTAAGTTGCTATTTCTTTTCTTCTTACCTCGTCTAACTCCAGAGCTTTCCACCACTCTTCTCACAGAATTCAAAAGAATTAGAGACCACTTTAATTTTCAGGTTAATAACACTAACATCAATACAAAGTTTTCTATGACTTTTATCTCTTACTTCCATACACCTGATTAAACAAGGGAGATATGTTCATGGTCCCCACTCTGCTAAGGAGACGTGAAAGCCTTCAATTTTATTTTTCATTGTCAAAAGCATTAGCTCAGCTCAGTGAAATCAAACGGGTGGAAGCTTTTCATGATCTTTATTATATTCCTCTCCAACTGCCTGTTTAATAAAAACAAAAAATGAGAATAATCCTTTGTCATGTAGACAGGAAATACAAATTCTCCCAAAATCCCAGAAAAAATTTCAACCATAAAGACATTTGAGTAGATGGTCGAAAGGTTTGATACTAAGATAAGGTGACTTTCACCTCTAGGTGACTGATTTATGCAGGCACAGGTCAGCTATTCAGAAGCTACAGCAAAGTGAGCCTTTGACTTTACTCTCTAATGGACAGCTATTCACATCACACAGATAGGCTAACAAACAAGTTCCCTTCACAGGCTCCCAAAATCTAGTAATATCTAATATTTCCACTGGGGAAAAAAAAAAAAAAAACAAGGAAGTAAACAAAACACAGTGTAACCGAGAACTCTGCAGTCCATGAATTAATTGCTAAGGGCATTAGCAGATTAATAAAATGTTTCCATGAATTTTAAGCAGGAGGCATAATTGCTTCTGAAAGTTATCTTATTCTCCCAAGTAACAGCAGAGCAGTTTCTTCATAAAACAAACAAAAAAGAAACAGAGATTCAGGGTATTCTGTTTACATTACAGGACATAAAAATACAGGAAACTTTTCTGAACACGCCAGTAGCTGGTGCAGAAGGGAGGCATTCCCATGCAACCCACACCCAGCTTACCTTCAGTAGCTGTCCATCATCTGTTCCCAGAAACAGAACTATCTGATTCAAAACAACCGTGCCATAAACAGCCACGAAACCAGAGTGAATCAAGGTAGGCAACTTTTTGATTGATCGTGCCTCCTGAAAATCGGATACAAGAAAAAATTATTATAAAACTATTCACCTATACAGCAAAATACTAATTAAAAGGAAAAGAAGAACCCCTGAAAAGATTCTCAGAGCCCAGTTTTAGGTAACAGCTTTGGAAATATTTTTATTTTAACAGAATTTCAGAGCAAAATATCCTTTGAAGCAGTGCATGAAATATGAAACTACTTTTTTTATATGGTACCTGTTCATATCTGCAGTAGAGATTACATCTGCTGTAGCTAAACCACTGACTTCAGTATGATATAGACTTGGTCTAAGAGCAGCACTTTACTTCACAATCAAATCTCTCTGGTTTTTGAGATATAGTGCCTAGATCTGTTCTGAACTGCCAGTTCTTCTCTATACGGCAACGTTTTGCTGTCACCTGACTGCATCTATCACGAAGGCTATGCATGCACTCAAAAAACCACTTTTAAAAGCATGCAAGTATTCCAGAGAAAGGAGATTCTTCAAGCACACAGGCCTCATTTGTTTTTTGGTTTTTGTTTTTTTTTTTCTTGTCAGAAAATGCAGACCTTCATCCTTCCCTTTCGGCTTTCCTGCTTTATACTAAAGGAAGCGGAGACTTGCACATTACGTAACTATAAAAATGAGACAGAGTAACATACAGTTCATGTCAGTGTTAGCATTAAGAAGAGCTTATTTTCTTGCTCTTCACACTTTCATAGTTGTGTTAGGTACACAAATGAAGGTTTCCAAGGACATGCTTAATTTAGAGTTGGCAATACATGTTATGACAAAACTGTGATAATAGCAAAGGGAATAATACAAGTTTTCTTATAATATGGCATTATATGAATATCATGCAGCTTCAGAGAAATCTGTTTTAATAACACACTTATCACTTTGTTTCATAAAAAGATAAGGTCTTTACAGCAGAGTATGAATTACATCAGAGTAAGGATGAGTTTTAGCTCACTGCATCTAGGCTAAATGTACCCACGCAGACTTCAAAAGCAAAATGTCACTTACAACTCTCAATACTCACAAGCTGGACAATGCTAAGTAACAGAAGCATGTAAGCAGCTCATATAAGAAAACACGTGCAGGAAATCCTTTGGGGGAAAAAAAACCTCAAACCAAATAACCCTAATCTATTACTTGCACTACAGAAGATCCAGTGCTAAAAGGCAGACCATACTGCATTAGGCAGCGCTCCTTCACTAGCTGAGCCACCATCCCCGTCCCAAAGCTCTTGCAAGCCCAAGCTTCTACCTTGCAAGCAGTAACTTAATTTTGCAGTCCTGTAATTGCTTTAAATCAACCTTAGTGACAGATGCTACCAAAAACATGATGCTACCTGCTCCCTCAAACAGCTCCAACCCCAGCCACACTCTGCTTTCCCTTCCCCTATATATATATAAGGCAGCACACAGCTTCACAATGAGCCTGATTAAAGAAATACTGCAGTTGGGAAACGGTCTGGAAACCAATCAACCTGTCTGTCTGTCTGCCTGCCTGCCTGCCTGCCTAAAATTTCACCCGGGCCAGTCTCCTGATCAGGTGAACACGTGGCTGCATGGATACAAGTGCTGGCACAAAGAAGTAGCAGGCAGGGAGAGGTGAGGGAAGAGCTCAGGTAGGTTTGGCCCTGTGGAAACATCCTCCGTGGGTTGGCTTGAAACGGCTACAATATCAGTCTCAAGGACGGATTCCTAAATCTATAGGAACCTCCTGAGTGCAAGAACCTCTTTTGCTTTAGTGCATGAGACAGAGAGTGGGAGAATGGACCATTAAAATCCTCATTTCGCAGAAAGGGGAAGGCATTTCTCAAAGCTGTGAAGCAAACCCATGACACAGGTTAACAGCTGAATCCAGCCCTCCTGCATGCTAGAATGCTGGCTTAACCTCCAAAAATCTTTCCACACAGAAATAAAATTTTTCTGAACTTCAACCCAAAGTCAATTAAAATCTTTTTCAGTCATCTGAACTATTTTAATTAGCTTGCAAGAACAGCCACTTGGAGTAAAAGAAGACTTGATTAACTTTCGTATTTAAAGAAAAAGATATTTTTCCATGCAGCAGGAAGAAAACATAGGAACTGTCATGTACTGGCACAGAACTCCAGTAAAATCAGCTAAGGCGTGAGACTTCAGTACTGTGCAAGTCTGTTTTAGATATGAAAAAAAAAGTGACTGGAAGCCTTTTGAAGTGGAAAAAGTTAAGAGCCCTCACTTTTCTATCAGATCAGAGGCGAACAAACATTGGTGGATGCAATGGGCCCTCACTCAAGAGGAATGAAGCCTTCCAAGCTGTGATTTCCATGAGGATTAGGACTTTTTCCTTGGTGCACTGTATAGCACTGCAAGGAAGACAAATCACCCCAGGTTCCTTTTGAACTCTGTACAATAAGACCTCAGAAGAGGGGCGTAATCACCCAGAATCTGAAAAGCTTCACTGCCAGATTTTATTCTGACCCACATACTAGTAAAATAACTATTGTCATATCAGTGCATCCCCATCATCTGACCGAAGAAGCAATACTGACAAGTGTGGAAGCCTCCTCCCCTCGCTTCACTTGCTAGAGGGAGGGTCATTGTGACATTGAGCTAATAAAGATAACAAGAGGGGGGATTTAGTCCATGGGCAGTCACAACAAAAACTGTCTTCTCCCTTTTGTAACCTATTTCTCCAGTTTGCCCATTCCCTCCAGGGTGCAGCTGCTGCTTTCACCCTTCTGTCATCCTTTTTCCACATGCATTTATTTTTTAAACAAGCCCTTTTACTTCTTCCACTGTGACTAATGGGGCTACAGCACTGTAGGGTCTTTCCAGGCTTTTTCTTTCACTGCTAAATCCAGCCATAAGATGCATTTACAGTCTAAACTTCCTTTATATCTCAAGAGTCATCTCCATGATCATCTATCCTGTAACACTTCCAGGCACATAAGAAAACATGAAACGCTCAAGAAAAGGCTATAATTTTCTAGAAGACTGTTTTTTCTAATTCTTCAGCTTCATCCTTCTGTTTTATTCTGTGGTCCCCAAACATGTTCACTTTCACAGGTAAGCCTAGAGGTCTCCTGAACTAACTCACAATTTACTTTTAAGATCAGCTCTCCTATGCTGTTTGGAGATTACTGAAAGGTATTTATTCACATTTTATATTTTGTATCTCATTTTCAGATTTATCCCTGTACGATTCCATCTGCAGCCACTACATTCTCACTGTTATTTTCTGTCTTGATTTCCTCTCGATTCTTTTATACTGCATGCCTCAGAGGGAAGGGCAATGGTTTCTTGCTCATGCAGCGCTCAGCATAATGCAGCCTGGCCAAAAAGTAAAATTACAGGATTTGAGCCTTAGAGTGAATGAATGGATGCAGCTAGCCAATAGCGACACAAAAATTGTGAGCAGTGTATAGCAATACACAAATGCCTTTTCCAAAAGGAAAAAGCTTCTGGAACCTCTCCTTTCTTAATTTTACCATCCTTCAGCTTCCTGCATCAATTTTTACTACATTGGAAGGTAACAAACTTAAATATTGGTGCACGCAAGGAGCCTTTATTACGACTAAGGAATGAGGAGATGAACTGTTCAAAGATTTGATTTTCATGAGGATTTTTTTTTTCTTGGTGCATTGCACAGCAATGCAAGGAAGACAAACCACTGCAGATGAGCATGAGGGAGGATAAACAGGAAACCAGAAGGTCTCCACAGAGACCCTGCAGAGGCAAGATCCTGAGCCTCACAATGCAAGGAAGAAGGGACAGTTGGAGGCTACACTTCAACAAGTGGCCGATGGACACCTGAGATGGAGGAGGCTAGAGCTTGTCACTTCTTGCAGCAGGAGAAAAGCTCCTTTCTTTGCTCTCAGATCTGAATTTACAGAATCAGTAAAGTGCCATAATAACCAAGGAAGGAGAACAAGCTCCATTAAGGAAGACTTCAAAGCCACCTGGGCATGAACCGAGCACTAGCAGAGAGCAAGAGGAAGTGGTGGGTGACAGTGATTGGAGATTCCCTTCTGCGTGGGATGAAGGCACACATCTGCCAAACAGTTGTGCTTTCAACAGTTGTGCCTTCTGTGCCTTGTTAGAGGCCCAGATCCAGTACATTGCGATGAAACTATCAATGCTTTTCCGTATCTTGGACTATTACCCCTTGTTGCGCATCCAAAAACACTGCCAAGGAAGACCTACGGCGAATCAAGAGCAACTACAGAGCTCTGGGGCAAAACGAAGGACATGGGAGCCCAGATTTTATCAATCCTATAAGGTCCTTTTTGAGGAATGAGGACTATTAGTGAGAGATGGGATCTCTTGGACAAAGTAGGGTAAGAGCATCTTTGCCTACAGGCTTGCTAACCTGGTGAGGAAGGCTTTAAACTAGGCATTTCAGGGGAAGGTGGCCATACCTTACAGTTGAGTGAGGAAAGAGAAGTTAGAGTGGTAAGTACACAGGGCAAGGCAACGGGAGTGAGAGAGCCCTCAGAAGGGATAAAACAGGGCGAAAGAGGTCCCACCTCAAGTGCCTGTGCACAATTGCTTGGGGAATAAGCAGAAGGAGCTGGAGCTCTGTGTGTGGATGCAGAACTGTAATTGCATTAAAATAACTGTGGGACCGCTCACACAACCAAGCGCGATGAGGAATGCAAAGAGAGGCCGGGAAGACAAAGGGGAGATTGCCCTCTATACGAAGGAGCAGCTAACTGTATGGAGCTCTTCCATGGGACAGATGGCAGGCTCTTCCATGGGACAGATGGCAGGCTGGGTGAAAACTTGGGGGACTGCATGAGAGAAGAGACCATTGAGCATATCGTGGTGGGATTTTGTTACAGATCACCCAAACAAGGTGAGGAAGTGGACAACGTCTTCAAGCAACTTGAGGAAGTCTCCAAATCATAAGCCCTGCCTTTTATGGGAGACTAACCCCCTTGATATATGCTGGGAGGACAACATATGGGAATCAAGCAATCCAGGGAGTTTTCTGGAGCATCTCAGGGACTTCTTAATCTAGATGCCAGATGG